TCGACAATTCAGTGTGTAAATAATGGCCTAACAATTTGTATGAAAAACGTCAGTCAGCATTTGACTCAATGATAAATTGTATTTGCTGACAAGGTCATTGTATCGACCATAGAACTTACGAAATGATGACTTCAAACGAGACAGCTGATATTCTTGTTTCATCAACTTGTTTGTCAATAATTTACCTCTTTTTAGAAATTGTACATACGTAGAGCATGCTCTTGCGTATCGAATCAACTGAGAGATATATACCCCGTATGCAGGTGATGAAGGTATATTGCTGCATAAGTAGGGGAAGTTGACGATTGAAAAGTTAAAGTCATCACGTTTATCATAAAGCTTGGTTGTTAGATTACCATTAACGTCTTTTTCAAGTAAAATATCCAAATATGAACGAGATGTGTCAGACTCTGTGGTATCTTTTATCTCAAGTAAGTAATATTGTTTGTCATGCTCAATTTCTACTGTTGCATCTGTACGGTATATGATTTTGACATAATCTTGGAGTTATCCGGAATTTTCATAACTTGTTGTATTTGGTTCTACTTTTATATCGAGCCCACATTTTCCCTTTATCATTGTTTACGTGGTTCGTAGCACCTTATTAACTCTGATTGTTTCGTTGTCTGCACCTTTGAAGCACAATGGAGTAAGTAATATTGTTTGTAATGCTCAATTTCCATTGTTGCATCTGTACGGTATATGATTTTGTATGCAATTTGGTCATTATAGTGTGTGAAGTCTATTTTTGGATAACGTGCGAGTTGCACTTTTCATGATTTTTAAGACTTAAAGAAGTTTTGTGTCACAAGATAGTGCATTTTGGATTGAAAAGCACACATATATACCAAATATTTCTGTAATGTTTTTTCTAGTCAAGCATTTTTATTTGCATGTTAAATGCAAACAATTTATGCCATTGTAAAGAGTGCAGGAAAACTTGAAGGCATGCTATAAAACATTGATTGTATTAAGTACATGTACCTAAGTTTGTTGGCATGTTGTAAAACATAGTTTGATCAAGATACATGTTCATACCTAAACAGAGAGTTACCTGTTGTATGATAGTTCTAGTCATTTCACTCATTTGTCATGTTACGTTCATTCACTTCCTAGATAGCTTTGGATGTAATTTCATTTATTATTTTCTCCGTTCTTATTTGATTCATTGTAATATTTTCAGATCTAACCATATCCTCATGGAGAAATAAATGGTTGAACTTACTGCGACTTGCATTTTTATTGGACCAAGGCAATAAGGCAGTACAGTTAGATTCCATTTTAGCAGAATACAGTGAGGCCAGAGATGGGTACAGAAGACGAGGAACGGACAAGAAAATTAACAGAAAAAGGATCAGAACTATATAGTGAAAGGAGTTGTGCTCACAGAGACAAGACAGAGGAGGCATGGAATGAGGTTCAGAAGATTTTGGAAAACCTATGCGAAGCGGACGGCAGCAGAGTGGACACCATGGAATCGGAACTCCGCAAGCGATATGACTGCTATGTATCTTTGCGCTCTGATTACATCGACTTTCTGAAAGGGACAAAAACTGAGGAGAGCAACAATGAGTTACGTGTTCTGGAACGATCAAGTGAAAACAGTGATCGAATATTTAAATCAGCTTTGACGCAAATCAAGATTATAAAAAAAAAATGCGGATGCGAGATCTACTGCAAATACCTTTGCTGGCTATTCTGCATCACGGGGAACAAAGGTTCAAATTAAGTTAGAAGAAATAAAGACAAAGGTAAAATTGGCCGAAGAGGAAGCTGGTATCCAAAAACAGTTGGCAGAAATTAGACACAAAAAGGAAGAGGAGAAGTTAAATGCAGAATTAAATGTTATAAATTTGACAAAGGAAGCTGTTGAATTGGAAGCGGAGGCAAAGGCTTCATCTGTTGGAGAAGATCGGGACGACTCTCCTTCTCCTCCTGTACGATTACCGGTGGAGAGAAGTCGTGCTGAGCGATATGTTGCTGAACATTTTCATGATCCTATAGTTCATCCTTTACATTATGGATTCTCAAACTCGCCTTACATCTAATCTGACCACCGTGACCGAGATCCATTCCATCGTCATACACCAAGCAACGATAACCATGTGGCATCAGAGCTTACTTCTTTTCTTTTAAAGAAAGATCTTTTGATGATAAGACTTACTGTTTTTGATGAGAAGCCGGAACACTACTCTTCCTGGAAAGTGAATTTCAAAGACATCATAAATGATCTCAGAGTTAATCCTTCTGAGGAATTGGATTTGTTAATTCGCTGGCTAGGCCCAGATTCTGCAAGACACGCCAAAACTATAAGGACTTCAATAGGTTCTGATCCTAGATGGGGAGTAGCAAAAATTTTGGGAGCGTCTAGATGAAAGGTTTGGTGCCCCTGAGATGGTCGAGTCTTCAATCAAAAACAAGCTTAACTCTTTTCCAAGGCTTGGGAATAAAGACAATAAGAAGTTATACGAGTTAGTAGATATCATGATCGAAACAGAAGCATTGATGGGAAATCCACAGTATTCCATGCTGCTCTCGTATTTCAACTCATCATCTGGTGTATCTCCAATTATCAACAAACTGCTGTATAACCTTCAGGAAAAATGGATCATGAGAGCAGCCAACTATAAGAAGCAACATGATGTTCCATATCCGCCATTTTCCTTTGTATTAGACTTTGTCAAGGAAATGAGCAAGATCCACAACGATCCAGCATTTTTTCACACCTTTGAGACACACACCTCTAAACCAACTACTGGTTCATACGTGACTGGAAACCAGAAACCTGTTATTGCTAGGAAGACAGATGTCAAGGCTAATATAAGTAGCAGTCCAGACAAAATATGTCCAGTGCATATGAAAGAACACTCGCTGAATCAGTGCAGGGAATTCTTAAAATGGGATATTAGGAAACGTAGAGAGCTGTTGAAGCGAAGAGGCATTTGTTTTAAATATTGCGCATCTACGACTCATTTGATGAGAGATTGTAGACAATCTGAGGAATGTGCCATATGCAAAAGCCAACAACACCCAACAGCGTTACATATGGAAGGAAGAAATGCTACTGTATTTGTTGTCAATCAAACATCAAAAGACAGTCCGAAAGTAACAATTGCTCATGGCGGGGAGAAAGCTAAAGATGTCGTTGCGTCATGCACCTCACTATGTGGAGAGGAGTTCAATGGTCGATCATGTTCAAAGATTGTGCTCGTAAAGGTGTATCTGGAAAGGGAACCTGAAAGGACTATCACAGCGTACGCTCTTCTGGACGAGCATAGTAACAAGACTTTAGCATTGTCGGAACTTTTGGGTCAGCTTTCTGTAGAAGGTTCTCAGGCTGCTTACACACTGTCAACATGTGCAGGTACAGAACAGAAAACAGGCAGACGAGCTGTGGGGATTATGGTCAAATCAAGGGATTGGATAAACCAACATACCTTGCCAACAGTAATTAAATATAACGACATTCCAAATAATATCTCAGAGATCCCTACCCCAGAAGTAGCGAGGGCACAGTCTCATTTAAAACATATCGCTAGTCAGATTTATCCTCTGGATCTTAAGAAAAAGGTCCAGTTACTTATTGGCCGTGATTTGCTGGAAGTTCACCGTGTTCAACATCAAATAACAGGTCCACGTGGAGCACCATTTGCTCAAAGATTGAGCTTGGGCTGGGTGATCGTGGGAGAAGTTTGTATTGGCAAGTTCCATAGAGACAATGTCAATGTATTGAAAACCAACTTACTTGTGAATGGTAGGAGAACAATTTTCAACCCATGTGACTCAAAACTCGTCTTGCGTGAGCAGCCAGTTGAATCTCCCATTGGAGAAAATCTCATTGTTAGAACCCAACAGGATGAGAAAATAGGAATGTCTTACGAAGATCGAAAGTTCACAGAGTTAATGGACTCAACACTCAGGAAGGACTCCTCTGGAGTATGGATGGCTCCCCTACCATTCAAAAGTCAAAGGGCACGGCTTCCCAACAACAGGCTACAAGTATTGCAAAGAGCTTGACAACTAGAGTCGAATCTTAAAAAGAGTCCGGAGAAACTGAACCACTTTATTACCTTTATGGACAAAGTTTTCCGAAGTCAGGCTGCAGAAAAGGCTCCTGATCTACAGGATGATGAGAAGGAGAGATGGTATTTACAAATTTTTGGGGGTATATCATCCAAAGAAACCCAACCAGATCAGGGGAGTATTTGACTCCTCAGTAGTGTACAAGGGACTTTCTCTGAACAATGTGTTGCTAACAGGACCAAATTTGACCAACAGTTTGTTGGACGTGCTGTTGCGATTCAGAAAGGATGAATGTGCAAATACAGCGGATATAGAGCAAATGTTCTACAGATTCTTCGTCATACCTGAGCATCGAGACTTTCTGCGGTTCTTCTGGTTCGAAGACAATAACCCTAATTCCCCAATGGTTGAATATCGTATGACAGTCCATGTTTTTGGTAATCGCCCGTCGCCCGCCATAGCCACTTATGAACTGAGAAGAGCGGTACAAAAGGCTGACAATGATGTCAAAGAATTTGTTAGTTGTGATTTCTATGTTGACGATGCACTGACGTCCACGTCTTCGCCTGAAGCAGCAGTGAGTTTATTGGAATGTACCAGGAGGAGTCTTGCAGAATGAAGGCCACATCCGACTACATAAAATTGCATCAAACAACAAGAATGTGATGTCTCAGTTTCCTAAGGAAGATCTTGGAAAGGATCTCAAGAACTTAGATTTGGGTGATGATGCATTGCCCTTACAAAGAGTCTAGGTCTATCTTGGAACCTGAATACGGACAGCTTTGTTTTCACTGCTCCTAAACTGAGTAGTTCATTCACAAGAAGAGGATTGGTTTCAGCAGTTAGCAGCATTTTTGATCCTATAGGATTTTTGGCACCCTTTACAGTTTATGGAAGAATGTTATTGAGAGAGGCATGTCCACACAGACTGGGATGAACAACTTCCTGAAACACATCACAAACGTTGGTAGAACTGGATGGACGACTTGAATCTGTTGGATGGATTCTGTATTCCTAGAATGTATGTACCGAGTTCGTACAGTCAGATGAAAGTACGGGAAGTGTTAATCTTTTCTGATGCTTCGGAGAAGGCTGTAGCTGCAGCTGCTTATCTCAAGACAACAGATGACCTCGGTCAACAGCAGTTGGAGTTCATTATGGTTAAATCCAAATTAGCACCTTCAGCTGGTAATAGTATACCTCGCTTAGAGCTTTGCGGGGCAGTCCTGGCGACAGAAATTGGGCAGTTCCTTGCAGAACAGCTTGAAATACTTACAACCAAGATGAAATATTTTGTTGATAGCAAGGTTGTCCTCGATTATATAAAGAAGGACACACGGAGATTTTATACCTATGTTAGCAATAGGGTAGCCAGGATTCGTCATGCCACTTCACCAGAACAATGGAATTATGTGCCTACCCATTTAAACCCTGCAGATGTTGCTACAAGGGATGTGTCACAGGACATTTTGACAGCCATACAAATATGGTTGAAAGGACCTGAGTATATCTTAAAGGGCATGGAAACATCAAAAGAAGAACCAGAGATATTTCCCCTCATTGAACCAGACTCTGATAAAGAAATCCGTCCAGTACAGGTGCTACAATTCACTGTCTCAACACACTTACCACTAGATGAACGATTCACGAAATTCTCAACATGGAAGGGGTTAGTTCATGCAATTGCCATCTTGAAATATAATGCAGGCTGCCACAACAAAGAAAATGACTCATCTTGCGAAGGATGGCATTGGTGCCAGGAAGGAACAAGTCCAGCTGGACTTAGAGAGGCAGAAAAATTTGTGATAAAAACCCTGCAACAAAAGCACTACTACAAGGAGATCAACAATTTAAGACTAGGGTTGTCGCTCACCAAGGAAAGTCACATCATACCACTGTCTCCTTACTTGGATGAAGATGGTCTCCTGAGGGTTGGTGGCCGATTAAATCGTCTTCGAGATAGTCTAGGCCTCGCATCTACGAATCCTATCATCATTCCGAAGGGGGTTGTAGCAATGTTTCTTGTTAAACATTTTCATGAAAAAACCTTTCACCAGGGCCGGAAATTTACTGAAGGGAAAATACATCTCATCTCTCATTGGGAAATGTGTTTTGTGTAAAAAGCTAAGAGGAAAAACGCTAGTACAAAAGATGTCCGATTTACCAACAGATCGATTGGTTCCTGGACCACCCTTTACAGCAGTTGGCGTAGATACCTTTGGACTATGGAACGTCACCACACGCAGGGCACGAGGTGGAGCCGCTCAAAGTAAGCGCTGGGCAATTATTTTCACCTGTTTAACAACCCGTGCAGTGCATATCGAGCTTATCGAAGAAATGAGCAGCTCTAGTTTCATAAATGGCTTGAGGCGAGTCAATGGATCAGACCGAGGGACGAACTTCGAAGGTGCAACGGATCAGATTGGTCATGACGCAATCAATGTGGAAGATGTTCAACTAAAGGCTCATGTAAACAATTCAGGATCAATCTGGACTTTTAATGCTCCCCACTCCTCCCACATGGGAGGAGTGTGGGAAAGAATGATAGGCATTACTCGGAGAATTTTAGATGGAATACTAGTTCAACAGAAATCCAAAACCTTGACTCTTGAAATCCTGTCCACATTGATGGAAGAAGTCTCTGCTGTTATGAATTCCATACCAATCTCAACTATTCCATCTGACCCAGAGACACCCTTGATATTAAGCCCAAATATTCTCCTCACTCAAAAACAAGATAATAATCCACCTATGTTGTCAGAACAATTTTCACTCAAGGATGTCTATAAAGCAGAATGGAAACATGTTCAAGTACTCTCTGATCTCTTTTGGAGGAAGTTGAAGGATACCTACTTGAATGAATTGCAAGAACGCAGAAAGTGGCACGACAAGAAACCAAATATAAAACCCAGTGATGTTGTCCTCATCAGGGATGCGAGCCTTGCTCGAAACAAGTGGCCCGTTGGAGTAGTGGAGGAATCCATAAAGAGTGATGACCAGTTGGTTCGTAAGGCCGTTATCCGTGTACATTGTGATGGCAAAACTGTGTTGTATACTAGACCTATCAGTGAGCTTGTTTTGTTATTAGATGATTAGTTTAGAATACTTAGTAAGTGTAGGAGTTTTAGTTTATTGTTATATCTTGAGATATAAGACAGGGAGTGTGTTGTGACATAATCTTGGAGTTATCCGGAATTTTCATAACTTGTTGTATTTGGTTCTACTTTTATATCGAGCCCACATTTTCCCTTTATCATTGTTTACGTGGTTCGTAGCACCTTATCAACTCTGATTGTTTCGTTGTCTGCAGCTTTGAAGCACAATGGAGTAAGTAATATTGTTTGTATTGCTCAATTTCCACTGTTGCATCTGTACGGTATATGATTTTGTATGCAATTTGGTCATTATTTGTGAACATCTAGTTTACATAGTAGTGTGTGAAGTCTATTTTTGGATAACGTGCGAGTTGCACTTTTCATGATTTTTAAGACTTAAAGAAGTTTTGTGTCACAAGATATTGCATTTTGTAATGAAATGCACACATATAATATTATTCCAAATATTTCAGTAATGTTTTTTTCTAGTCAAGCATTTTTATTGCATGTTAAATGCAAATAAATTATGCCATTGTAAAGAGTGCGGGAAAACTCGATGGCATGCTATAAAACATTGATTGTATTAAGTACATGTACCTAAGTTTGATGGCATGTTGTAAAATATAGCTTGATCAAGATACATGTTCATACCTAAACAGAGAGTTACTTGTGTGATAGTTCTAGTCATTTCACTCATTTGTCATGTTACGTTCATTCACTTCCTAGATAGCTTTGGATGTAATTTCATTTATTATTTTCTCTGTTCTTATTTGATTCATTGTAATATTTTCAGATCTAACCATATCCTCATGGAGAAATAAATGGTTGAACTTACTGCAACTTGCATTTTTATTGGACCAAGGCAATAAGGCAGTACATCTATTATTCAGTAACAACTCATTAAATAAGTTTAATATGTCCCCCGTTTATCACTATCACAATGCAGACTATTAACAAATTATTAGTGCTTCTGTACCCAATATTATTAACCTCTTGCACTGGTATTTGTTGGTCTTTGAAGAACATTTAATAAGTTATTTTTGTCTCATTTTTATTTATCTATTATTTACAAGTCTATCTGATCATTAAAACTATTAAAGTACTTTTTATATTATACAACAAAAATTCTTGCATAGTTCTCTTATTCTATTAACCTTTCAAATACATTATTTACAGTGAATAATTATCAAAAGTGAATGGCAAAGGGGAATAACTTCTCTCAGTAGAATACAAATTAATAGAACCCTGGTCAGGACCAGAACACTTGACCAAATAGTCCAGATGTTCAAAACTCCGGTAAAATTACCCTTACTTATTAAAACGTTTTCTCTGTTTGCCTCGAATATGATCTTCACTACAAATTTTACACAGCCCTACCTTAACAACAGAACCCATGACCAAGGGTCAGGAAATTCACAAATTTGGAATAGCTACCCTAATCTTCATAACTATAGACTTGATTTATCTGCTAAATACCCAGGGACAGAAAAGTAGATTGCAAAGAAATAATGCACTTTCACTACATAATCAGTAGAGCCCCGCCCTACAATGTCATTCTGGGCTTATTAACACTTTTTTAAGACTTCCTATATTATACTTAAAGTGTTCTGGGAATTATTTGAGATTATTATCTAGTAGTTTTCGACCAAAAAAAAACCCAAAAAATAAGTTGTTATTTAAACCTAACCCTAGGTTTAAATATGTAACCCTAAGGTCTGAAAAGTGTAAAATGTAACATAATTCATTTGGGCTTATAAACGAACGGAGTTAGCGGGTTAAAAATTGGGTTTAGGATTGTAGCTAAACCCCTCAATGGTTTGTTGCAAAACCTATTCTAACCCCATGTAAGAAAAAATGGCATAAAAATCGAATAAAAAAATTCATGTCTGGGGGTATACCCAACTCCAAATTTTTCTCAAGGTTTTGAAAATTCTTAACGTCTTATAGCATCAAATGCTTAAAAACCGGCCGATTTCCATGGTATAGATCTGGGTTTTCTTGGCTGTAGCTAACTTAATTTACGCGAAAAAAATGTTTTCTGAAAAATATCCCTTACCTTAACTTTTTAACTAAAATTTTGATTATGTTACATTTTACACTTTTTTGATCCTACCCCCCTGGGGCAATTTTAGAAGAACTCTGTGGCTTTTAAAACTATTTAAAAATCTCAAATCTGCGGCATAATTTTTTTGTGGCTATAAGCATCCCTTAAAAAATAATAGGAGTTTGAAAAGTGTAAAATGTAACATAATTTTTATATCATATAAGGAGAGAATGGGCTTGGTCTGGGGTTAGCTCTAAATATAGGGGAAGTTCATAACCCTTCTTAGGGGACATTGTCATGATGACAAACACAAACTGTAGCGTTTTCTAAGTTATATTTACAGTATTTTCTTTCGTTTGTAATGGATTTATTGTACAGAGAGGCGTGACAGTCGAGTCACGCCTCTCTGTACAATAAATCCATTACAAACGAAAGAAAGTTTCTGTAAATGTCTTGTGTTATGGTCATTTGCATAGTCACTCCTTCAGCACTAATCTGCACGCAACATTACGTCACAGGCCTTGGTCCATCGTAAGTGTACATGGTGTTCAAACAAAGCAGAAAGTACAAAGGAGATGGTTGCATCATGCGATGTTAAACGAGTGTGCAATTGTATTTGATGGATTAATTTAAGCAGTATGAGTATTTCAAAAAACACGGTATACACAGGCACAATACTGAAAACTTTGATCCGCCCGCACTATGATCCGCTACATTACTGTTACTAGGAATACGATTGTATGTGCTGAGTAAATCTGAGTCAAGTACTGTAGCCACAAGTGTCAAAATTATGGAATGTAGTGTGAAAGAGTCCAAATACATGCATATACAAACATGTATCCGTTTGCATGTAACTCAAGGAACACATAAAACAGGTGCTATTAAGGGAATCATCGAACTGCGCGCGTTTTCAATATTGTCACATTTGAATTATCGTTTTAATTTGAATACATGAAATTCTGTATATTTTTAAAAAAAAAAATGTTTAAAGCAGTTAACCTAGTTTCCATGTATTCCTCTTCAAAATGGTTCTCACGTATGCATTTTCAGATTGAAGAGAGGGGGTTGAATTTTGTGAGGTTTCTCATGTTTCCTCTGTATAGGTTGTATAAACTTACAGAAATTGAAGAAAAAATATTCAAAAAGTATCGAGTTCTTTTGGAAGTTATTGTACAGTATATTGGAATTTATTGTACGGCTAAGCTCCGTCCCCTAGAATTTATAGTACGTTGGAATTCAGATTTCTATCGGATTTAAAGTATGGCTAACATCAAAAGAAAAAGTACCGCACCATGACACAAATGACCTTATGGCCTAATTTACTGAGTATGGACAGAAACCCAAAGTGTAAATGTAACACAATTTTTTGTGACTTTTACTTTTTGGGCCCTATTCTCTTATAAATCAATTTTAACTGGATATTTTAGAAAAAATGACTTTTATTTAAGAGAAATAATCAAAATATAATGCCAGAAGTTCATGGTGTTCAATTATCTTTTCGATTATCATCCATATGACCCCTGCTCAGATGTAAGTAGCCATTTAGGTGAATTTTTATAAGTCCCAACAAATATACATTTTTCTTGTATTTCTTGAAAATACAGGAAATTTAAGTGAAATTTGGCTTCCTTTTCCTTCGCCTAAGGTAACCGTACAAATATAAAGGAAAAAAATTTTGTTCTATACATAATCGACAGAAATAAGGACAAATCAGGTGTCGCGACATGTCAGAATCACTTAAGTCATTCTTAATTTGTTGCGACATGATTTTTCGACTAACCGAGTATTGAACAATTAAAAACATATTATATTTTGTTAATTCAATGCATTTCCTACCTTGTTTCTATTAAAGTAGGTTCACAAATTGATTTAAGCTACATTTTACACTTTCAAACCCAAGAGTGATATTTATATTTCCCTTTTTGGCTAATATTTGCTTATTATTAAATTTATATTTGATATTAGAGAAAAATCAACCTTC